GCCCCTTTCGCGCCACCACCCCGGGGCTTCGTTACCCCCTCAGCGCCCCTCTCCCTCCTTTCCCGCTCCCTCAGCGCCCATCTTCCCTCCCGCCACCCCGACGGGTGTTTTCCCCACAGAGGTGTCCCGCCCCGGCGGGCAGCCCGAGGGGCAAAGGGGATGGTGAGCGCTGGCCGAGGGCGCTGGTAGGGAGGAGGTTTGAGCGAGGCAGGCCAGGGCGGACGAACAGCTTTTCATGAAACGTGCGTGAATCGCTTCGGAGCATAAAACGATCCCCTCCGTGAGGGGGTGGCTTGCCAGTTTATTTTTGGGGTTTTTTGGTGGCACTTGCAGGACAGGACGCCGCAGGCCCCGGCGTGGCCAGAGTGTGTCTGGAGAGGAGCGCGGCTGGTCGGCAGCCGAAGCGCCCGCAGGTTGATTTTTAACTGGTTATTTTCGCGGTGAGGCAACGTGTAACCCAGCAGCCCCGTCCCTGGCTGTGCCGACGACTCCAGCCAGCTGTAATAAGTCACTTTCCAGGAAAGCGAGCAGAAATATCTCATTTACATACAGTACTGCCAAATAAGTGTAAAATAAATCCCGAGGTAGGGTCTTGAGCATCTATGAAGTTTTGGAATAACTGGGAAGAATATGCGATTTTTTTTTTTGAGTTGTCAGATATTATTGTGACTGCTGTGTTTAGCACTGGTTACATTTAATTTCATATTAGAAGATCGTTTTGAAGAGAAGCCCACTGGATCTCTGTACTTGAATTCTGTGGGCAAGAAATTGCTTTTCCTTCCCCTAAATGAGTCCAGGATTTAAAATTAGTGAATCACCAACAGTAAATGAAAGTAATGCTAAACTTACATTTCAGTAGCTTTGTATTAAGGTGGGGAATTTATACAGTTAACAGTAGGATTTTTTGGTTTATGATGCATAGTACTAGGCCCAGTCTCATGGCCCATGTTCATACACCACGAGTAAGTAATTTCGGTGATATTAGTCACCTGAGTGTGACTTGAAAGAACAGCTTTCTAGATGGAGCTGTTACCCAAGCAGATGGTCAATGACTGAGGCAAAGCTATTTTGCTCAATAGTAACCTCTGTCTAGTGGATTAGCACTTAAATTTTGTGTGTTTCACCCCTCTGGTTATACATAATTGCACCATGCTAAAAAAATACCATACCGTATGTTTGGTACATTTAACTGTTTATACATAACACTGAACGGTTTTATCCAGCACTGACTTACTAGCAAAGCTCCATTTATAAATCAAAATTTTAAAATAGCCCAACTATCAAATGAATGAGGTTGTTGTCTGATAGTGTATGACTTAAACCCAAGCCATATCCAAATCCAATACACTGGATTTCTAGAATCGGAAGTGCTTCAATAATCAATTTCTTAAGGGATTGCAAAGCCAAAGCTCTTCAGACTACAACTGGAAAAATGCAGTTGTATTTCAAAAGAGCTTTCTGTGTGCTGTATTTTCCATCTGTGACTTTCAAGTGAGATCTCTTCATTTCCTGGTTATGATTTTTTTTTCTAACTGTTGATCTGGAATGATTTATCTGGGATCCAGGCATTACATTGTTCCCATAATCCTCTTCACACAAACTATAATAAGAGGATTTTGTAGGCTAAATTTGTTTTGGCCTTCTTAAAATACTTCATTCCTTTCCATAATGTTTATGAAATACTGTGCTGAAAAACTGCATTATCCCTGGAAAACTCATCTTAAAAACATTTGGCTTTTGGAAAAAGGGCTGTGGTTTCATTTGGAGGGACATATGTGCACTTGATCTACAGCAAGATTAGCCAAGCACATACACTAGTAAGCTAACCAAATGAAAACAATTTGTTGAGTGTTTGTTTAGAATAACTGTATTTTGCTGATACCTAAGAAAGAAGTGTGATAGTGATATTCCTTTTAATTTAGTGACTGCGCCGTTGGAACTCTTGATCCCATTTTGGCAAAGACACTAGCTCTTACACAGCTGGTTTGTTTTATTTAGCAAGCTTGCACATAAAGTAGGTGGGAAACAATAGCTAGAAATAGATTGCTCAGTTGAAAATGAAGGGTATAATTTGGTCTGGCAGTTAAGGCATGAGGATTAAGTCAAGTGTGCCTGATTCTGCTTGTTGTGCTGTCAAAGTAAAACTCAATTAGACATTAACGTCCTCTTAATGAGAATTTATTACAAGCTAGGGTTTTGTGGGTTTTTTCCACAATTACGCTTTTCATAGTGGAATTATATTTTAAATTTGTTCTGAGATATGAATTTCTTATCTAATGCAGTAATTAAAAGCCTTGATGGTGACTATAATTGCACCTTTTCATATCCAGAGATGCTAGAATTGAATGGAGGCTTATTTTAAAAACAAACAACCAAAGCAAACCAACCTATATCTGTCTGATCTTATTTCACTTTGTCTAAATCCTCTGTCAAAATATTAGAGGTTTGATAGATTTTTCTCAGTTTTGTGGCTCATCAGCATGGCAGAATAATGAGGGGAAAATACTTTTAAGTTAAAATGTTCTCAGTTCAAATAAATAGACTAAACAGAAGTGCCTTGTTTGGGGGACAAAGCATTCTAGACAATGCGGCAAAAATACTTAAAGCTAGGGTTAGTTTAAAGCTGTTACAGTGTCTCACCTTAGTCATGCTTTCCATCTGCAGTGGCTTTGGACTAGCGCGGAGCCTTCTGAAGTAAGATCAGCACCTCTTTTTTCCTTACAGGTGAAATCTGAGGTCTCCTCTACCCTTGAGGAAGTATTGCGGAGGCAAGATAGCTGTTAAATAACCAGAAAAATCAGTAAGGCTAAGTGAATTGGTGTCACTAAATTAGTCTTTGTCACAGAGAGGGTCCTCAGGTTTGGAATTGGCAGGAGCCACGCAGAGCCTGAGTCTTGAAATTGGTACTGTTTTGAGATGCATGGTACAGGTTTATACTTGCTTGCAAAATCATCACTCAAAGCCTGGGGTTTGGAGAAGACTGCTTTTGGTCTTCAGACACAAGGTCTAGAACCTTACTTCCAATTTAAAAGGAAGTTTAGAACCTGGTACCATCGTATGACTGGGGCGTTGAGCATAGACAGATTGCGCTGCTGTGTTATTCCACCCCTGCTGTAAACACTAGCCTGTATTTTAACATTCCCTATAATCACAATAAATGTGCAGTGACTCTGCAGGGCAGGATGACCTTTCTGAAGACTCCAAGAAATGTAATCACAATTCTTTTCCTCTTTAGATGATTTTAAGCCAGCATCGATTGATACATCATGTGAGGGGGACCTCCAAGTGGGGAAAGGAGATGACGTAACAATCACTTTGCCACATATTCCAGTAAGTTTGTTATATATGTGTCCTTGTTTACTCTCCAACAAATTTGCAATGTAGTTACCGTCTAATGTAAATGTTACTTTCACTTTCATCTTTGTTAGTACAAGTGGGTTCAATATTTGAGCAGCCAGTCTTGTAGTGTGTTACCTTAGGAAAGGACTGCACAATCAAATCATTGCAAAGGCTTGTATTTGTAAGGTTGCAGTCTGTTCTTTACTTTTGATTCCTTCCTTCCAACTCTTCCTTGAATAACAAGAAGACTTTTACTGTTAGCTGAAGTTCTGTACCTGGTTTGCATTGATTTTTAGTGCTATAGCTTAAGGAAGAAAGGCAGGGTAATTTGGGCTTTAGTCAAGGGGTTTGGAGATTTCATCATTTGATGTTCAGAAGCCACAGGTAGGCCTGTAAGCCTATTCTTCCCATTACTAAAATGTGTACAGATAGCATAGAGGGTTCCCTGCCTTTAGCTTTGTCAGTGAAATCAAGGAGGGCGGTTCTGGTGAGTGGCAATGAAGTGGTTTCCCATCCACTTCCTCCTCAAATTATGCCATAAAGATCTACTGTGTGAGGATGACAGTCAAACAGCAATAAAAGAAGTGATCAAGCTGTTTATAGCTGCAGCTGTTTTGTAATTGAAGGTTCAGTGGTTTCCTTACCAAAACAGAAGAAAGTGCTTGCATGCTGGAACTGGATTTGTTTATTAGCTGAAGTTAATGCTATGTGTCAAGCCAATAAACCAGAATTCACAGACATCAGTGGGTTTGGTGGTTGCAGGGGGGCACCAGTCAGTTTGGAAGCAGTGTGTCACATCCTTTTGGTATTGTTTATTCCAGCGTGTTGGTGTTTTTAATTGGTAGGTGATGGTACTGTGATAATTCTCACTGAGTGAGGCTTTAGCCCGATTCCCCCCCACTCCTGTTTTTTACAAGGCTTTGGTCACCTTTAATGCTGCAGGAGGTCACATGCTGGGTTTTGCCTATAAAAACGGTGAGCATGGTAGTGCTATTTGAGAGCAGGTAACAATACGATGACTAGCAGTGGCATCCATCTTGGATTGACTGGGAACAGTGGTTTTCGTTCATCTTTTGTGTCGAACAACTTCACTTGTAATGTCCCTTTCCAAATCTCTGTGCTGATGAGTTTAATTCTGTTGCCTTCCCATGCGTATGAACATCTTCAAGCTTATAGTATGCTTTGGAGGCTTGGGCAGCTAACGGCACTCAACGCAGCCACTGTGCACAGGTTGTTTCGAGGCAGGGCTGCCTGGGTTCCGGACAGAGAGCTGGAAAACGCTGAGCGTACTGGAAAAGAGTGGGAAGGTTTGAGATAGTTTCATCCTGACAAGACTTACTGAATTTCTTAGATCCTGCTTTGGTTCTCAGTTGCCCAACAACTGGATAGGATTCAGATTCTAAGTTGTTTTTTGAAATTAATTGACTGGTCCCTGAGGTTATCTGGTAATTTGTTCAGTGGAGATATTTTGATGTCCCTTGCTGCTTGGATAAATTGAAATACTGTTTCTACATGTGGATTTAGTGGCTTCAATATTTGATAAACGGTCTTGGTTGGGGAAGTGAAGAATTTCTGTTTGTTAAAAACCCTCATGCATGAAAACAAATTGATTAAACGTCACCTGTTTCACCTGCTGCTTCCTCTATCCTGTAAAGAGGAGCCAGTGTTATTTGAGCACTAACATAAAACCTAAACATTCAATTTTAAATAGAAGGGTGGGACTGTTAACTTGCAGGGTTCTGTTTCTGCTGATTTTTTTCAGCCAAAATCACAGTCTTTTCTGAATTAGGCTTCTAGGTAGCAAACAAACTTTGATCAATTTTCATTAAATTTGTGCATTATACATTTCCTGACTTAGTGGTCAACAACGAGCAGGATTTGACTTTCAGCTTGCTTTTTATTCTCTTAAATGTTGCTTTCCTCTCTTAAATGTACAAGTGATAAAAATCTAACATGCTTTGAAGACTAGACTTTATTGAGACATCCTTTCTGAATTCTGTATATCTTACTGTATCTTTGTTGGCAATTCTGATTTTTCACCCTTACTGTTAACGAAGACATTTTAAATTCAAACGTATTCTATTAGTGATATGGAGAATAGGAATTGCATTCTGAGTGGTTAAAATATGATTGTTCATTTTTGCTACTGAGAATAAGATGTAGAAGAGTGCATTTTTTTCCTTTTCTCCCTGATTTTGGTTGCTTTTCTACAGCATGTGTACAAGTGCACATAAATAAACTTTTATTTTATTTCTTTTGTGCAGTAGCTATACGTTGCAGAGAAGTCTGAGAAGGTTTCATAGCTGAGAACATATTTCAGTATATCCCCTTCAAGTAATGTGTCCTTTTTTGACATGGCCAGGTGTGTGTCCATGCTGCTACGTGCAGGTAGACCATAGATTCTGCCTCCTGTAACCCCAAAACCAGGTGTATGAGCCAGCCTGTGCATGGATACAGGACAGCTGAGCATAATCTCAGCAGTATCAGTTTGCCAGTGTGCACCACCACTTGAGTTTGTCTTTATTGCTTCTCAGTCTAAGCCATTACACTTTTCTGGCTCTATGCAGCATTGTGTGGATGTGGGGGCTTTCTGGAAGGCGTCAAAATACCCTGTTTGCTTTTGAGAAGACTTTTCGGTGTAATTGCATGGCATCTACTTGTTAATCTGACTTTGAAGAAGGCAGCTGTTCTTACGTAGTTTGAGACAGTGCTTGTAATCCGCTGTGAAAAATACAGCCTCTTTTAAAAATATAAATTAAATACAAAGCAGTTTAAATTATTTTTCAATTGACCACATATTTCTTTCGGCAACAGTTCTGCTACACGAATAATTAAAACTTTATTTCTTATTGAAATCGAAGATTTGCAGAGCAGAAATGTCAAGATTTCTGACACTTGTCAGGGCCAGCTATGCAAATTCAGTTATGTTGCCAGTTTGGGAATGAGAACTGTAAATAATGGCAACGATGGAGAAGATGTTTTGTCACTGCAGAGACAGTTAAAATGATGAAAGGTGTAGGAGTGCTATGAGGAAACCTCTGATCTACTGCATATAACTGTATTTTTCCCTTTTCATGAATGAACATTTTCTGTAGGAACTAAACATTAACTGCTTAGCCTCTTGGTCAGAACAATACATATATTCATTTCTCTTAGTGTTTATAAACTTTTGTGTAGGGGAATATAACCAAACAAATGTGTGTTTTTTCTTTGATACCAGGGTTCAACTCCTCCAATGACTGTGTTTAAAGGAAATAAAAGGCCATATCAGAAGGACTGTGTGCTTATTATCAATCATGACACTGGGGAATATGTGCTGGAAAAACTTAGTAGCAGCATTCAAGTCAAGAAAACAAGGTAAAGCCAGGGACGGGGCTGTTGATAGGATTAATACGTGCTGAAGTTTCTTCTTCAGACTGTCTTTTGAACCATAACTCAAGTTTTCTTTTATTTTGTAGTGATGTTTAATTACTAAGCCTTATGGGCTTTACATGGCCAATTATCTTGCATAAAAATGCAAATAGGATTGTGAATCCAAGAGTAAAGAATTTGTAAATTCTCCACTGCTGAAAGGACATAATTATAGTTTGCAATGAAAGACCTCTGATTTGAAGCTTTGGAAGCTGGCTGAGGGATGGGATGTGTTTCAGGAATCTCTAGTTAGCTGAAAAAGACCATGGAAATATTAGGCTGTCAAAAGGATTGTTGGACTTTCTAGGTTTGTTCCCTACAGATTCCTGTGGGAGTCATGATGCTTTAATAATATACTCTTAGGGAACAAGAAACATTCATCCCTATATTGGATCAGTGATATGTAAAGTGGAACATAAATCCAAAGTGTCCAGCTGCTGGGGAACTGTAGAAATAACAGTTATGAGGTTCTGCCTAGAAGAACTGCTGAGGCCAGAAATCCTCTCTGACCCAATATTTGTACTTCACTGCACAAAGTGTGCAGCTGGAACATGTTTAGTAATCTTGCTGCTCTGCAAGTATCTGAAGTTTCTGGATCATGTTTTTTCAGCATCACTGGATCACAGGTTATTGAGATCTAAAGAGAAAGCAGTTATTCAAATGTCTCGTGAAGAAGCTCTTAAATAGTTTTACTAGTTTTACATTTAAAAAAAATGTCTTTATTGCAGAGTAGAACTTTTAGGTGCTAAAACTACTAGAAATGTGGGTTGCAGCTCATCAGCAGTTGACTGGAAGTTTGCCAAGAACACCTTGCATTCAAGCTAAATGGACTGTAACAGTCCTCTGACTCAGTGATGTGAAAACTCATCCTTGTGGCATTCATCTTGTCCAGTGGATATGAGCACATCATAGATGAGATTTGAATTCCCAATTTAAGTTCTGCTGGACTTTGTCAGAAAGGAGCAAAAAAGTGCAGGAGGGTTTGGGTTGAGTGAGGTGTTTGGACCCACGGAGTTTTGGCTCTAGTGAGGTGAACAATATTTCGATTTTTCTCAAGCAGAGACATGGTAGTAAAAAATTGGGGATCCCTCTTTTGAGGAATAGTGCTTTGCAAAGTCATTCAGTTTTCTAGATCAGAAGGGTCTTTTTTTTTTTTTTCATGGCTACTTTGATCTTTAATGACCTGTTGTCACTATGTGGGAGCAGAGTTTTTAGTGTTAACATCCTGATGACATTCGTGAGAGAGTAATTGCACTTTTTCTGCATAAAACCTTCTGACCTTCTGTAGTTCCAAGAGCATAATTAATCCTGGAAGCAGTCTTTTGCTTTTACCTTTCACTTCATACAATGAGTGTATTCCCAAACCCTCACTTCTGTTGTAAATGACTGTGTAAACTGCATTAATGTGGTATCTAATAGCTGCGTTTCAGTGATGAATGAAGAGGTGATTCTGTGCCTAATTTTTGAGGTTGCATCTACAATTCCATGAGGCACAGAGATACCTGAGTTAGTGCTACATGTACTAGCTGAGATACCGGGAGCAGTTTAGGTGAAGGCCCAGGAAGTTCCGCACGGGCTAGCTGAGCTCATTCCTCAGGGGATTAGCTCACAGGCACAAAGTGTCACACTGCTGAGCTGGGACCCTCCTAGAACCAAAACTGAACTCTGGTATCCACATAAGCTTCTTCTGTGCTGCACTACATAAAGCCATACCCCCAAAGGCTTTATGCAATAAATAAAGCACACACTTTAAACTCATTATGGTGTGCCGTAGAGGGACTTGAATAAGTATTTTGGTTTGGGTTTGGTTTTTTTTTCTGCCAAGGATCTTGGTTGTCCTACGATCTCAATCATGTTGTTAATTCAGTAAAAGGAAGAAGTATCCGATTTGAGTTGAGCAGCTAGGCATAGCGTTATTCTGGAGACTATTTCCCACTAAGGAAACAGCTTAAACTATTTTTAAGGGATAGTAGCAAATGAATGAAAAACAGGAATTAAATGCTTGTATGCTGTATTTGGCAGTAAGAATGATTGCTCTAGTCAGGTTGACCTCTTAAGAGAGTTCAGTTTGAGATGATTTAATTGCAAGTGAGAAAATTGTTTCTTTTGCTGTGATTGTTTTAAGCAGGATTTTGTTATGAGTGGATTTGTTTTATCATGTAGTTACTTTAAATGACTACAATTGCTTGTTCTTTTTTAAACATACAAATACTAATTGCTAAATCAAAGCCTTCGTTGTTCTTCAAGTAGAGAATTTGGCACT